AACCTAGCATTGTCTATCCACTATCCGGAGGCCATAGTAAGCATAACACTACGAATGATTACCGATGCTTTATTAACACGATAAGCAAACTTTCCCTCAACACGCCATGTCAATTTTCTTCACGATCCTACAACGACTCAAAACAGGAGTTTTGGTTCCCCTTTCATTTTCGTATCTCCCAACAACTCTTCATCACGGTCTTCGGTATCTTTATCGGATCCGATAGTTGATGTTTCCCCGAGACCTGAAATTGAGATACCCCACCCTTTGGATGCTCCGGAATGGAACACCGTAACACCGGAAGCCCCAACACCAGCACCTTCACTAGACGAAACTTCCGAAGAGACACAAGCTTCCCCCGTAGAAGAAGGCAGCCTCACCGAACAGGATCTCTACCCCCATCCCGTCGCCACTGAAATTGTCACCGGCCACCGTCCTCCACGAGTCATCGATGTTGATTCCGAAATGCACGGAGTAATGCCATTCATGATATTATTACTATCCATGCCTTTTATAGGCATTGCAACACATACAGGTTCTGTCATCACCTTAGGCCAGGGCTTAAAGTCTGCTACTAGGAATATTAAGTTCCTGCCGGATAGAAAGATTGTCTCATCCAGATGTCAAATGTGGTGTGCTAAACGTCTGGAAAGACAGAAACCGTTGGTTAATAGATATCTAGCTACTAAAGAATGGAGAGTTAATGTTCCCCCGTATGATATGAGTAGCCTGGATCAAGGAGTGCCGGGTAGAGCAAGGGATTTGAGAATCGTACGGACTGGTGGACAGAGGGTGGGACAGATGAGGACTGGAGTAAACACTGTGCGGCGTGTTTCGGGTGTAGGACAGAATCAAAGAGGAGCTAGCTTTCAGGAAGTTACGATTGATAAAGGGAAAAAGAGGGAATGAGAGAAGAATTATTGAGCTGGATTAAACATGAAGGGAATGGCCAACTATTGCAGGGTTAAAAGTGCGAAGCGGTATGGTTATAATGTTTCGTGTATGAGTTACGTACGTCTTTAGTACTAGTTTTTTTAAAGCATGCTAATACAAGACGGTGAAGGCGTCACGTGAGACTGACTTGTGAAAGTTCCCGGAAATTGTGAGTTTTTTTAGCACGTGATATTGTAATGTTTCGACACTTTCGGCAAATTCATCTTCTCGGCAGATTTTTAGTGTCTGTGAGTTGTGGGCTCTAATGAAAGGAACTACCGGCTTCGTGTGCGGTTTCGTGGGGGCTTTTTTCGTCGATCATATGAGAATCAACAGGTTAAGGGAGTCCGAACTAGTCTCGCGGGGTATCTTACCGGTATATTGTATTAAAGTTCTGGAAATCATGAAGAAGATTCTACGCAACTTATTTTTGGCGGGAGGTGAATCACATAAAAACAAAAATTACAATACGCCGATTATACTACCAAAGCAATATTCATAAGAAACCCCCTTGGCTTTACATGCAGATGACCCATAACTTTACCAAAGAACGCCGAGCGATATATATATACAAACACCATCCCGGAAACAAAAACCCCGAATCATCAACACATACTATGATGCATAATTCTCACTCAGATCCTCTGCGCTATGATTTGTAGAGCTATCATCTCTACTCTCTGTGACCCTGCTCTCTTCTCTCATTCTCAGTTCCTGCCAAGGATCTGTCCAATCATGACCCCAAGCTTCTACTATGTCAACTTGTACACTGAATCTTCTCTCAACTCTAATCACTAATCCTCCTCCTTCTTTATTTTCCACTTCTTCATCATCTTCGTTATCCCCCTTCCTACAGATTTCTCTTCTGGTTAATCTTAATACACTTAAACACGCGGCCCAAAAAATCGCATTCTGATCTGCGGCGGCTGAAAGAATTGAAGCATGTCTTGCGAACTTATTATTCGGATGACGTGATAATTTCAAGACTGTAAGAAAGGATAATGTACTAGCCAATACACTTATCGAACCGAAAAATAATGTCGTAAGTGCGAATATTACTTCTCTTTTTTTCCAATTTACTCGGGGAAGTAATAGTGATGGGAGGATTATAACGATTATGGTACTGGATATGTGTGCGCCGAAGATTATTTTGTTGTATGGTTGGCTGAGCTTCATAACGCAGAATCCATTGGGGGCGGATTGGTTCCAGTTTACCGGCGCCCACATTCGTGTATGTGGCCAGCACCAGAATAATGTGGTGAAGAAACTGGAAAGGAATAATAAAGTAACTATTCCAGTTGTGAGGTGTAATATTATCCGTAGTTTCTTGGGGAAGATCTCGTAGAAAAATGCCAATAGTGTTGCCTTCACTGTGTAAAGGGCTACGGTATTGAAATGTAATAGGATGTAAAGAATCTTTAGATAGTACATCTTTGCTGGTAATGGGTACCCTATCAAGGGGGTTGAGACTGGATCGAGATTGTCGGGAAAGAATGGTTCCTCATGGTAAAAACGGATTTCTTTCTCGTTCATTATCGTGTTGATTATCGACTCGGTGAAGATAAAGAGAAAGGCTAAGGTTATTAGAAAGTCCGATACTTTCAAAGAGTGAGTTTTGTTTTTTCGACATCGTAATCGGAATCGAAGGAGAAGAAATATTATGTCGATAAATAGAAATATCCATATTCCTACCTTTTAAGGAACAATCAGTATATTGATTTTCGTTTCAAGACTAGGGGGAAAAAAACAAAGGGTCTATACAGTCTCACCAAAGACGTCAATCATGACTCTTCTATACTGTAGTTGTCTTTAGTGCTGTCGATACTTATGGTGTGGGGTGGATTCAAGCCGGCGTCCTCGAGCGGTCCGCCACTTATTTGTATGCCAGTGCCAAATCACCGAGCATTTGTGGCGGAAAAGGAAAACAGCGGGGGATATCTACCCGTCATATATGGTGTTATTTGAATGTTGACGATTGTATGGATTCGCATACTTTACCGGTGCAATTTATTACCAACTAGTTGCCGTTTCACCCTTTCATACCCCCTTCCGGGGTGCTCAATTATCTCTACTAGTATCAACCTGGTAAATTCATCACGATAATATGTAGTAGATGCATATGTAGGGCTATCGCTAGACCTTGGTTGCATGTATGCATGGGCCCCGTCAAGAATCTGTATGTAGCACCCGTTGTTGTATCGACATGTTTTGTCTCGTCGCTCGCCATACAACATTGCGTTGCGCTGAGACTTTAAGCCCTCAGCCCTAAAATAATTATGTCTTACATGAAACCTCAGATGTTCAACTCTCAGTCCTTTCGCAGCGCAATCGATATCCAAAAGATAAATACTTCTCTTGTACCTGCACCGTGTGTCCAATGCTCAAGATTTGGTTAAAAGGAGTGCACCTGCCAAAGTTGTTATCCGGCAAGCGAGTCTGTGGTCCCAGAGGAAAGGCACGCCACCAGAAATCTGAAACTAACGCATGTAAAATCTTTTTCCTATCTAGGTAGGAGGCATTTACCCGGTGATATCGAAAGTCGGATGGATGTAACATTTCTTCGGAGACTTTGCGGATTTGAGTCTTCGATGCACATCCGTTTTAAACTTGCTTCTGGAAGATAAATTTTTTCTTTTTTTGATCTTCGGCAAGAAAATGAGTGTTGGAATATCGACATGTGCGTTCATGTGGATGAATCTAATGTGTCAATCTAGGTATGTACATAAAATAGGAAACTGAAAACTTCCGACGAATAGTCAGGTGCTCTATATGGAACTTTCCGAGTGATCCCTTCGAGATCCGATGGGATTAACTCGGTAGTTACCATCACTATTCCCATCGCTGGCTGGATCCTTCAAAAGTCACAAAAGGGATATTGCGTTTTTAGAAAAAAAAAAGACCTAAATTCTAGAAAAACATAGTGTTGAAAAAACCCCTGAGATGGCGATTAGATGCCGCCGAGACTCGCGTGCTTTTACCGGAGCAGGTCCATGTGAGCGGCAAGCCCATATCTTCTGCGAATACGACGGTGCGTTCTGGGCGGCTTCTACAGCTATTTAGTCACCATCGCGTAAGTGATATCTGGCTTTCTCATAAGAAGCTCATATGGGATTCTGAACGGTATGTGTAGGCAGATATCAGTTGTCCATTTGACAATTTCATCCGCATAATATGTTCAATAATAGTACGATCCAGTCAAAATGCATGTTATCTGAATGGTGAAGGTCGGCTACTTCCCGAGGAATGTACACTTACCGGAGACTTGTCTAGGTACATATATAGCTTGCGAACCGCCGTGTCGAATGAGGCGCCAGCGGATTATAATTATCTGTGCGTGATAAACATACTCTATCAAGGGATTTTTACTTCTGTATCCAATGACACCTCTCCGCTCAAAGAATCCCCAAAATCGTCCTGGTCCTAGAATCATATCCAAGTCATTCTTATGGCGCCATATCCACTTCCCCAGTTTCGAAAAACGAATCCAGAATCTGCTAATAGAAAGAAGAGCCGAACCCTACACTTCGCTCATGGGTATTCATTTGTTCCAAAGCATGATTCGACGCTTCTGTATCTAGGGATAAGTACCTAACATCCGGGGAGCCCGTCAACGGACCCCACTCTTTGAACCCCGGCAGAATGCGTAACTAAATCCTGCAAGCTAGGATCTACACGGGAGGAGACAAGGTTTGGCGGCCGACGTTAGAGCCGATCGGAGAAGTTCGACAGCTCTGGAGAATATGAGTGCTTTCATCTGTAGAACACGTATATAATTCATCGGTTCACGAGTCATTTTAATGTGGTGTATTCTGAACGGGTATGCTTGGTATCTGGGTTGTTATTTTTGTTATATATGATTGTTACTAAGATTCGTGCCATATTCCATGCCATTAACCATGGTGACAAGATTCAAATGCTTCCTACGGTTACAAATGTTTTTAAATACGAACCGATGGAATTCAGGTCTTAATTTTATGAGTATCAATTATACCAAGTAAGCCTGGTAGCCGGACAAATGTAATTACTTTGCTATTAGACTACATTTACAACACTCATGTGCAGTAAAAGCTTGCGTGGCCAAGTGGTAAGGCGTCCCACTCGTACTGCTTACGCAATGGGAAGATCAGCGGTTCAATTCCGCTCGTGAGCATTCTTTTTGCTCCACGTATACAGCAGCTTGAATAATTTGAATGAATGGTGATGATGTTCATCGAGATTGATTTTGACGTTGTGGCATCGTGGGCGTGATTGAATTTAAAGTTAATCCAAAACCTTAGCTATTCCCGGTTCTCTCTTTGTATCAACGCCTGTCAGTTGGATACGAGCCGATGCTAGTCATATCCAAACTATTGTTAGACGACATTTTTATTGTGGACAGTATCATGTGGGTGTAACGGAATGGCTCGAGAGTGAATCATAGAGGTGTATATCGTAAGTTGCAGTTATGCATCAATCTCATCTTCCTTCCCCATTTATCTATGCATTCCTGGGTGTTTCTCTGATACTTGACGCGCATAAAATAATGAAATTGAAAGATTATATATTCCAATCGCTTCAACGCTGGGTTGTGGACAAAGGGCGTCTGTCGATCATGTAGGATTCAGGAAACCGTTGATGAGCATTTGAAGCCGATCAGTACTGGGTATAAACCCCAAATCTAGTTTACAAAAAAAAAATGATTATGGCATGACTAATTAAGCCTTCATCTGGAGAAGGTTGATGCAGCCCGAGCTTGAAGTGCATAATACAACTTTGTGACTTTCGGAAGACAGATAGGGCCATTGTCATGATCTTAAAATATTTATGTTCACGGTGGGTATTATTTGTGTCTCATTCATAATCCGTTATGGTGTAGTGGCTAGCATCGGCCGCTCTCATGTAGAGCATCAAACCGGCCAGACCGGGGTTCAATTCCCCGTAACGGAATTACTTTTTTGCATCTTCGTCTTTTCAGTGGATGATATCATCATTTTCCCATTGTAAGCACAATAAAATGATCAATGTTGCCCATTTAACGTGTTGATTGAATCTTTTGTTCGGCAACTTCTACGCGTGCGCACATATCCAGTGATGTATCTCAGCGCGAAGCTTGAGCTCAAGCTCGGGCACGCCAAGCCGCTTGGTGCACAACAGCTCTAAGTTTCAACCCTCCCTCGACTGATAAACATTTTTCTTTCAGACACCTCCACTCTTCCTCCATCCACTCACTACAACACTAACCTGTATCACTACAGCCAACCATGCGTCGTCAGGAAGTTACAGGAACTAACAATGTTCCAGTAGCTCCTGGTCGTCGTTTCGGCAACCGTGATTCACAAGCTGATTCAAATCCTACACCACCAGCAACACCAGTTTCCAAACAAATCAAGCAGGATTTTACCAACTTCGGCAAGCAGGAACCATTCACTCCAGGACCAACTCCAGTAAAGAGAAGCTGGATTGATAAAGAAGAATTCTTTGACATTTCAGCTGAAGACAAGGAACCTCGTGGTCGTTCTCTCGAAGTTAAACCTGAAGCTACCGACCATGACACCGCGAGAAAGAGAAAGCGAGGCAGCCGCTGGGGAGCTTCTGCAGAAACTAACTCTATCGCTGGTCTTGTCGGCTTGCCCACTATGATATCTTCCCAGATGACAAACGAACAGCTTGACGCGTATTGTGTTCATCTTCGTATCCTTGAGATCACCCAGAAGCTTAAGATTAACGACATTGTTCCGGAGGAGAGACTTCGGTAAGCCCATATCACCACCAGAGTTGTGCTTGTTCTAACGGTGTAGGTCGCCATCTCCTCCTCCGCAGTATGACCACCACGGTCGTCGTACCAATACTAGAGAACACCGATACCGCAAAAAGCTTGAAGCAGAGAGACACGAACTAATCCAGAAAGCTGGAAAGATCTTTCCCAATTATCCTATCCCTGCCGATTATAGACGCCCGTCAAAGACTCATGAGAAAGTTTACATTCCCGTAAATGACTACCCAGAGATTAACTTCAGTATACTAACCCTTTCTAACCCATTCACAAACTCCGATTGAGACCCTTGGAATATTGTCTGAGTTTTACTAACCTGTGCTTGATTGATCTACTAATAGTTGGGCTACTAATCGGACCCCGTGGAAATACATTAAAAGAAATGGAATCCAAATCAGGTGCTAAGATTGCTATCCGTGGAAAAGGCTCTGTCAAGGAAGGCAAAGGTGGCAGTGATAGAGCCATGGATTCTAATCTCGAAGAAGACCTCCACTGTTTGATCATCTCCGAGAATGAGGACAGTATCAATATGGCGAAGAAGTTAATTCATCAGGTCATCGAAGTGGTAAGATTGCTAAAGTCCATACAGTTTCCCAGTGAACTAACCAGATATCAGGCTGCATCCGTGCCCGAACAAGACAACGATTTGAAGAGACACCAGCTCAGACTCCTCGCCACTCTTAACGGTACACTTCGAGGTAAGTCGCCTAGTCAATTTTATTTGTAAAATACTCACATGAATTTATAGACGACGAGAACCAAGCCTGCCAAAATTGTAAGTTGATCTAATGGTGCAAAGCTTAGACAATACTAATCTGATTAAGGTGGCGAGATTGGTCACCGCAAGTACGACTGCCCTGAAAAAAAGAGCTACATGTCCAATATCATTTGCCGTGTTTGTGGAAACGCCGGTCACTTTGCACGAGATTGTGTTGAGCGTCAAAAAGGAACCGATTGGCGTCAGAAAGGCCCAGTTGATGCCGTTGATACGGAGTACGAGGTAAACCGTCCCTTTCATAACCTTTATAATGACAGAGTGCTAAACGGTGGATAGTCATTGATGCAAGAACTTGGCGGATCAAACAGCGGGCACGCGATTGATTCAGGTACTCCCCAAAGGATGATTACTGGAAACAGCCACAACCATAGTGATAGGTTCAACGACCGTCATGATCGCGCAACTTCGAGCGGTGGTGCCGCTCCCTGGAACCAGAAAGTGTCAAACCATAGACCTGCCGGAAACAACGACTCGGGATTTAACTACAGAAACAACACGCAAACTGGGCAGTCTCTGCCATGGCACGGTGCACAGGGTCAAAATCAAGTCCAGAATTTCAACGCAGGACCAAATCCTAGCCACAACCAACCATGGGGACCCCCTATGAACTCGAACTTCATGGCGCCTCCCGGAGCACCCCCATTTCAGAATGGCCCATCGTTTGGCCCTCCTCCGTTGATGTCCAACATGATGCCCCCGGGACTTCCTCAAGGACCCAGTTATTCTAACCAGAGTGGATTCTACCAGCCGCTGCAAGCACCGCCTCCTCCAATGAACGGATCTTTCATGCCGCCACCTCCCCCTCCCCCGATGGCAGGAGCTCCTCCCCCTCCCCCACCACCACCACCTCCCCCACCGCCTCCAGGTCATGGTCCCCCACCACCACCACCCCCTGGTAACGGTAGATACTGAACATAGTCCAGTTGTTATGGAGGCTTTCAAAACTAACAATCTATTGCAAAAATAATGGTCAACCGCTAAACAGTTTCTTTTCACAAATTGAGATAAATATCGAATGGAGCTAATTTCAGGATACTATCTCTGTTTTACGAGTATACGGAGGGGCTAAGAAATAGGGTTTTTACTTTCTAATTTTCTTTTCACATGTGATAGGAACATAGCTTTGAGCTGGAAACGAGGAAAAAGTGCGGGGAAAAAGGGTTGCTGTCCGTTAATACAAACAGAGTTCGTTCTAACATTCTATCTATCTGAATGCGTAGCTTCTTAAGACTGTTGTGCCTCCTCCGCTTGTTGTGAAGTTTTCACGAAACGCTCCCAGCACCTCCAGCTCTCTCCGCTGTTGATGCCTTCTAGAGCTCTTTCCACTGCTTTTGTCCAAATGGCACCTCTAATGATACCATCAGAACCAATCTCCCAATCAACCTCGCCCTCTGCCCGGTCGTGCACGGCATCTGATACTACTAATAGTGCTGCAGCATTAAGCAGCACGAAATCAGTGATAGGCTCACCTCTGGGCATCTTCCCAGCTAATAGAGCCTTCAAGATAACTGCATTCTCCTCCGGCTTCTTTCCACCAGCAACTACGCTAAGAGGGTGTGTGTCAAGCCCAAAAGTCTCCTTCGGGTGCATCTTGAAGGTATGGATTTTTCTCTCGCCATCTTTCTCATCCCCGATCCACCATGCATCTGTGTATCCCGCTGGGGAAATCTCGTCCAGCTGCTCCTCTCCGCACACAACCATAACCTTTCTAGCCCCCAGAAGTTTCAAAGTCTCGGCATATACTGGGCCAAGTTCCTTCTTTCCAACACCAAGAATTCTCGCTTCTAATCCCTCGGTAATAGAGTAATCTACGGGGTTAATCAATGGTCCAAGAACATTGAAAATTGTCCTGCAACCAAGCTCTCTACGGATAGGTCCAATCTGTGCCATAGCGGGATGGAAAACAGGCGCATACAAGAAACAGAAGCTACTCTCAGGGTGGTTGTCTTCGGCGTACATTGTTGAGACGACATCGGGGGTGACGGAAAGTAGCTTTGCACCCAGAGACATCAAGATATCGGCGCTACCGGAGGCGGAGGTGGAAGCTTTGGAACCGTGCTTGCCTATGACTGTTAGACATAGATGATACCAGATGTTGAGTTACTCACAAACACGAACACCGCAACCAGAGACTACAATCGCGGCGGTGGTAGATACATTGAAGGTATCGTGGCCATCTCCACCAGTTCCAACAATATCAACGAGACCACCGGAGTAGGGACCAGGACCACTGCTGGGGTGCTGCTTCAGATTCTGGATCTTGTGACCTACGCTACGAAGCTGGCGGGCAGCGGTGGCAATGATGGAAGCTTGCATATCGAGGCCGGTGTAGTGGAGTGAGGTAAGAAGGATTCCAGTCTGTGCAGCGCTACAGGTACCGAGGGAGATTTGCTGGAAGGCTTCTGAGAGGGAGGAACCAAGGTCTTCGGCTATCTTGGGGGTGGATTCCTTGCCATGACTGGAGGCGATGCGGGCGATAAGCTCACGGAGGGAGTAGGCGGAGGTAGAGGAAGCTGATGCGGGAGTACCGGTGCTGAGAGATTGCGCGGTTATCAATGCGTCGGCAAGCTCGGGGGTACATTGTTCTTCTAGAGCGCTGGTAATTGCGTTGGAAAGATCA